ACACTTCCAACAACAAGGCTAACTGTCTTAACTAACACATCTTCTAATCTAATTACACATGTCATCATCCTATACATCAATTTCTATACTCTATCATCCCCCCGCAAACTCATGCTGGGATGCACGAAGCATGAGATTGGTACAATGAGTATGAAATAAAGGAGAACTCAAGCCTTTAGTCAGAATGTCAGCAAACTGCTCTTTGGACGACACAAACTGCACAGAGAGTTGCTTATTTGCCACTCGTTCCCTCACAAAATGGACATCAATCTCAATGTGTTTAGTGCGTTGATGTTGAACTGGATTAAAAGACAACGCAATGGCCGACAAATTATCACAAAACAACACAGGTGTAGAGGATAAAGGAACCTGCAAGAAGACTAACAGTTGCTGGATCCATTCCAATTCTACAGATGTGGATGACAGGGCACGGTATTCGGCCTCTGTAGAAGATCGGGAGACTGTCAGTTGCTTCTTGGATGACCAGGAAATAAGACTATTCCCTAAAAACACAACCAAGCCAGTGGTCGACCGTCGGTCATTAGGGTCCCCTGCCCAGTCAGCATCACTGAAGGCCTTTAATTGAAGCGATCCTCGAGAATAACTGATGCCATGACGAAGGGTTCCTTTTAAGTACCTCAAGATTCGTTTAACTGCGGTAAAGTGGGCAACCATAGGTGATTGCATAAACTGAGCCACTTGATGGACAGAGAATGCTATATCCGGCCTTGTAAACGTAAGGTACTGCAAAACACCTACCACATTTCTGTACAAAGTAGGATTGGTATATGGATCACTATCATCCTTGAGAAGCCTGTTATACGGCAAACAAGGAGTGTCACAAGGTTTTGCATCGAGCATATCTGTTTTGGTGAGAAGATCCAACACATATTTCGATTGAGACAAGAATAAACCAGTTGCAATTCGTGAAATTTGAATGCCAAGAAAGAAATGCAAATCCCCTAAATCCTTGATGTCAAACTCAGTTGTCAATGCAGTAATAACCTGTTGTATGGATGCAGATGCACTCCCTGTGATGATAATATCATCCACATAGAGTAGGAGAATGACAATACCAGAATCAACATTTTTGACAAACAAAGAGGAATCCAAATAAGTGTTTTGAAACCCCAAATGAGGCAGGAATTTTGTGAATCTATCATTCCAAGCTCGGGGAGCTTGCTTGAGTCCATATAGGGATTTGTGCAGTTTGCAAACAAGGTGAGGATGATGAACATCTTCAAACCCAGGAGGCTGAGCCATGTACACTTCTTCTTCTAAAATGCCATGTAAAAAGGCATTTTTGACATCGAGTTGTCGAAGGGACCAACCAAACTGAGCTGCAAGAGCCAATACTAACCTAACAGTTGTAGGTTTAACCACAGGACTGAACGTTTCCCCATAGTCAATTCCAGGTTCTTGACTGAACCCTTTAGCTACTAATCTAGCTTTATGCCGTGCAATTGTACCATCAGAATGTCTCTTGATCTTGAAGATCCACTTGCACCCCACCAAATTCTTTGAGGAAGGTAAGACCACCAGATTCCAGGTACCTTGTGTATGCAAAGCACTGATTTCCTCTTGCATAGCCTTAAACCAAATTGGATTCTTAAGTGCAGATTTATAGGAAGTTGGTTCAATAAGAGACAAATCAGTACCCTCAGATTCCTGAACAGTAGCTAACAAAGCTCTTTTCTTGATAATGCCACTCTTGCTCCGAGTTTGCATAGGATGTAAATTGAGTGGTGGAACCTCCAGGACCACTGACAAAGTATCAGGATGAAATTGTACTGCTGGAACTTGAGACTGAGGAGAACCATTGACAAGTGCCACAGGAGGTTGAGAAGTAGTAGAAGCAGTAATGGATTGAGAGGATAGTGGTGATGATGTAATTGGAGAGAGTGATATGGTAGGAGAACCAAGCAAATTAGAAGAGGCAGGATGTGATGGTGATGTTATGGGAACAATAGGCATAGATACCACAACATTATCAGTGGAAACAATAGGTACTGGACTGTGGATGGTAGAACTAAGGTGTGAGGAGTTATGATGGACCAATAAGTCTGTGTATGGGAATTGAGACTCATCAAACACTACATGCCGTGATATGTATAGTCTTTGTTTAGAAACCTCATAACATAGATACCCTTTATAGTTGGTAGCATACCCCAGGAAAATACACTTAGTGGTTTTTGGTTGCAGCTTAGAGTCATTATAAGGCTTTAATAACGGATAACAAGCACATCCAAATGATCTAAGGTGGGAAATGACAGGCAGAAGCCCAAACAATAGTTCAAATGGAGAATGATTGCCTAGGACAGGAGTGGGCATTCTATTGATGAGGTATATGGCGGTTTGACAAGCATAGGACCAAAACATGGCAGGTAATCTAGCAGTTTGTAAAAGGGTCACCGTTGTTTCAATGATATGCCTATGCTTTCTCTCAGCTAGGCCATTTTGCTCAGGTGTATATGGACAGGATTTATGATGTGTAATGCCTTTTGCAAGAAGAAATGACTAAAATGCTTTACTGACATACTCTCCCCCCCACCACTTTGAAGAGTTTGAATAGGAGTTGCAAACTGAGTAACAACAAAGGAATAGAATGCAAGAAATTTGGCAAAGACATCAGATTTATTTATTAATGGGAAAATCCAGCAGTATCTTGTACACTCATCAATAAAGGTCACATAATACTTGTAACCATCAATAGAAACAGAAGGGGCTGGACCCCAAAGGTCACTGTGAACTAGAGCAAAGGGTTTTATAGACTTATTGGGACTTAGAGGAAAAGGAAATTTACAAAACTTTCCCTCCAAACAACTAGAACACATTACAGGTAAGGATGGTTTTGGACAGGAAATATGAGCTTGTTTTAACATCAAAGAGACAATAGAATTAGATGGATGGCCTAGTCTATTGTGCCAAGTAGTAGAGTGAATGTGCTGACCAAGAAGAGCTTGAGCTTGGAACGGTACTGAGGTGGATCCATGAGAAGCGGTTGAAAGACAGGGAATTGAGTATAGACCATTACTGCATACTCCTTTGTAAATGATCCTCCCTATGGCCTTGTCCTGAATCCAGAAGCAAAAAGCATAAAAAATTATCCAGCAATTGTTATCCAAACAGATCCGATGCACAGATAATAAGTTTTGTGTTAACTTCGGAACATATAACACAGAATTGAGCTTCATTGGAGGAACAAAATTAACTGTGGAAAGATTAAGAACAGTACTTCCAATATGAGATACAGGCAAACCTTCACCATTGGCAGTTTGGACAATCTCAGAGGTAGGGTATGGAGATGCCAAAGATAAGTTGCTGAGATCCGAAGTCATGTGATTTGTAGCACCAGAGTCAGTGAGCCATACTTGAGGATTAGAGTGAGAAGGAGATGTCACGAAAGGTGACGGAGTCATCACAGTATGCAGAGCTTGAGGAGAGTGATGCTGAGGATAGAATTGATGTCCAGTCATTGCAGATTGCTGACTAGAAGCATTGTAACCGGGAGCACCAAAGTTTGAGGAATTCATCGGAGACGGATAAAACTGACTGGTAGCACCAACAAAATTAGGACCTTTGTCATTATAAAAACAATACCATGTGCTGTGATTGTGCTTGCCACAAATTTGACAATTAGCTCTGTTATAAGGGTTAGGACGGCAGAATGGTGCTGTGTGTCCTTCAGCATTACAAAGTTGACAGGTTTGCACCAAGGGAGCACTTGAATTGCCATAAGACTGCACTAGGGAGTGACCAAGGATGCCCGGATTCGGTGTTGGTAGGTGTTGGTAGCACATGTGTTTGAGTGGAAAAAGACAGTTTGGGTGGATAAGACCGAAACCCTTGATTAAACTTGCCTTTTCCTTTGTTTCTGTTGCCATTGAACGTCTTATAACCGCCAGAGAAAAATTGAGACTGACCAGATGTACCCTTTCCGGAATGCGAAACATTGTTTGCAACCATTGCAGTAATAAATGGTGCAGTGGTAGAATTCTCAACAATAATCTTTTCAGCAAGCAACTGAGATCGAAACTCTTTAAGAGATATCACATTCTCACGACCTCTAATGACACACTGAAAAGTATTATATTCAGAGGGTAAACCATTGAGAGCAAGGATAACAATATCTTCATCAGCAAAGTGAACTCCAGCAGCAGATAAGTAATCCCGAGCCTCTTTTATCCTATAAAGATACTGGGACACAGAATCAGAACCCTTCTTAATTGTTTGGAGATTAGATTTCATTTGAAAGATACTAGTCTTAGACACAGTAGATAATTGTTCTTTCAAACGAATCCATATATCCTGAGAACTCTTACTACCAATAGCACATGATAGAGCAGCAGGCGAAAGGGTAGCAGTTAGCAGTTGCATTACAGCCTTATCATGCATTTTCCAAATCATAAACTCATCCGTTGCAACAGAAGCATTAGAGCTAGAGTTCATACCAGAGACACCAGAGTGATGGGAAAATTAAGAAGGACAGGGATGTGAGCCATCAACAAATCCCATAATTCCATTGCTCTCCAACAAGAGTTGTATCTGAAAGTGCCAATTAAGATAGTTAGAGTCATCCAATTTGACATTCACCGAAGTCGAAATGGAGGAGATTAGGGCAGTAATCGGGGATTGCACAAGTTGAAGTTGCGATGCAGTCACCATTGAAATTGCTGCAAACAAACTCAGTGAGAACTTTTAGCAAACAGGTGGTATGCACTAACCAAAAGAGCAGAAGAAATGATCGACGCATGAAGACGATCAACCAAGAAAAACCCTAGAACTCAGGATTTCAAGAAGACGAAGAGAATTGAAGATACCGAAGACAAATTTACAAGATCAAGCGCATGCAACAAAGGCGAGTGGAAGCAGAAAAGGAGAAAAGGAGGATCGAAGATCAAGCGCAGGCAACAAAGGCGAGTGATACCATGTAAATGTAACTAAATCTATGAAATTGTATACAGAAATTCTAGAGAGAGATAACAACTCAGAGAGGAGAGAGAGAGAATGAATGTTCTTGATATATTTCGTAGTCACCAAGTAATACAAGAGGTTGATATATTTATACACTTCCAACAACAAGGCTAACTGTCTTAACTAACACATCTTCTAATCTAATTACACATGTCATCATCCTATACATCAATTTCTATACTCTATCAGGCGCTCCTGGAGCAGCAACAACCTCATCTCTCCTATGGTCATGGCCCCTTTGGCCATAGACATGGCCATTTGGCTGGCTCTTGATTTGCTGTGACTGAAAGTGATAAAATACAAATTGATCAAACTTAGAATTGAATCATCTACATTCATCAGATTCATAAAAACTATTCAACTTTCTTTTATAAAAAGCAGGGGTAAATGGTGCATAAAAATCATCACATATCAGAAGAAGATTTTTGAGCATCCTCTTAGCCTAATATGAAATAAAAATAAATAAAATAATCTCAGATCATGAACAAGGACACATTAATATAATGTCAAAATGTAAAGTAAAAGGGTCCAGTTAATTGTACAAGCAAAGGTGACGCTACAGCCCCTTGCGTGACAATTTGAGTCAATCTTACATATTATTAAGTTGTTTTCTGAGATGCTAGTATTTGCTGGAATTAGGTGACAAAAACGATTGCAAAGTAGAAGAATTCTGAAGATATGTATGAAGCACCTGATGTAATATTTATGTGAATAAATATGTAATTTTTCATAAGAATGCAAGTGTATCCAGTATAAAAGACAAAAAATAAATGAAATATTCTAACTATTCTAATTTAAAGGAAGACTCTGAACAATGACAGAGATTAGCTTGGCAGTATCATAACTAAAAGAATGTTCAATCACACAAACATCAATCTTAAAAAAACACAAGCATGGATTGTAACGAACTCTATATGGCCCCATAAACAGTTTTGAGCACTCTTTCACTTGATATCTTTGCTCTTGAAAAATGGGGTCTGCAGTTCCATATATCCCATTTTCTGAAGAAGATCAAGACTCAAGTTTACCAGAGCTTGACTAAGGGCCACACGAGCACCTTTCAGGTAAAATCCATGGGTTGTTTGCAAACATTCAACGACACCATTGCAGGATTTCGTTTCATACAAGGAAAATGGAATGGATAAAATATGATGAATGTGATAGATATATAGAGACCTCTTTTTATATTGAGAGGATAAAAAGATTAATGAAAATCTGAGGGTGAGATTAAGATAAGAAAATCTGATCCAACGCTTGCAAAGAATTGAAATCTTATATAGATCATAAATAATGGATTATAACATAGTCCAATAATAGAGCCATGACATAGGCATGATATAATCCAATAATGTAGTCATTCTAGTTACGTTTCTTTGTGAAGAAAAGAATTTAGTATCATAATTTGAATTATTTTTTGTCAAAATGTTCACAAAATATTTTTGACAACATAATGTTAAGAAGAAGTGGTTGTAGCTTTGAAGAAGATGAAGCATAGAAAAGCAATAGGCCCAGACGATATACCAATCGAAGTGTGGAAAGTTTTGGGAGAGACAGGTATAACATGGCTCACTGACCTTTTCAATAGGATTTTGAAAACGAAGAAGATGCCAAATGAGTGGCGAACGAGCACTTTGGTGCCTATCTACAAGAATAAGGGCGACGTACAAAATTGCATGAACTATAGGGGTATTAAGTTAATGAGTCATACAATGAAGCTCTGGGAGAGAGTCATTGAGCATAGATTGAGGCAAGAGACACGGGTTTCGGACAACCAATTCGGGTTCATGCCAGGGCGCTCAACCATGGAGGCAATCTATCTCTTACGAAGATTGATGGAAAAGATATAGAGATGGGAAAAAAGATTTACACATGGTCTTTATAGATTTGGAAAAAGCGTATGATAGGGTCCCAAGAGACATTCTTTGGAGGATTTTAGAGAAGAAAGGAGTACGAGTAGCATATATCCAAGCTATAAAGGATATGTATGAAGGAGCAAAGACTGCCGTAAGAACTCATGAAGGACAAACCGAAAGCTTTCCCATAACTGTAGGATTACATCAAGGCTCATCCTTAAGTCCTTACCTTTTTTGCGTTGGTAATGGATGAGTTAACAGGACATATTCAAGATGATATTCCTTGGTGTATGCTTTTCGCAGACGATATAGTGTTGATAGATGAAACTCAGGAAGGGGTAAATGCAAAGCTTAACATTTGGAGAGAAGTGTTGGAATCTAAAGGTCTTCGCCTAAGCCGATCAAAAACAGAATATATGGAGTGCAAGTTCAGTGCAAAATGGAGGCCAAAACGAGTTAGGGGTGAGGATCGGAGATCAAGAAATACCAAAGAGCGACCGTTTTCGTTACCTAGGATCTATCTTGCAAAAGAACGGAGAATTAGATGGAGATCTCAACCATAGAATACAAGCTGGATGGATGAAGTGGAAGAGTGCATCTGGCGTGTTGTGTGACCGCCGTATGCCACTGAAGCTCAAGGGAAAATTTTATAGGACGGCAATAAGGCCGGCGATGCTGTATGGCACAGAATGTTGGGTGGTGAAGCATCAACACGTACACAAAATGGGTGTAGCGGAGATGAGGATGCTTCGCTGGATGTGTGGGCACACGAGAAAGGATAAGATTAGGAATGAGGATATCCGGGGTAAAGTAGGAGTAGCCGAAATTGAAGGAAAGATGAGAGAAAATCGGTTACGGTGGTTTGGACATGTGCAAAGAAGGCCTACTGACGCTCCGATTAGAAGATGCGACTATGGGACAGAGGTTCAGGGCCGAAGAGGTAGAGGAAGACCTAGGAAAACTTTGGAAGAGACTCTAAGAAAAGACTTAGAGTACTTGGATCTAACGAAGGACATGACACAGGACCGAGCACAATGGCGTTCTAAGATTCATATAGCCGATCCCACTCAGTGACTTGGATTTTCCAAGTCTCCAACCGAGAAGTTTTCCTCACTCGGAAAATTAAGGGAACACTACCCCAACCTACATGCTCCACTCAGAAAGCTTCAACATACAAGCTTCAACAAAAGAAAATTCAAAGAACTTAGCGAAGAAGGCTTTGGTGTATTTAACACAATACGTTGAAATGAAGAAAAGCTTATTTATTGATATCCTCGATAAGCTACAAATATGTACATATACATGAGTCAAAATAAACAAACAAGATGGAGCCTTCACAAAGGTTGCTTAGGAGAAGTCTCAGCAGTCGGTAGAGCCTCAGAAAGAGAAGGCATCGGAGGGGGATCATTCGGAGCCTCAGTACTGGACAGAACCCTAGAAGGAGGAGGCATCAGAGGTTGATCATTTGGAGCTTCATTACGCGGTACAGTCCCAGAAGACGAAGGCAATAAATGCCTTTGGAACAAACCCACAAATCTCTGATGATCAAGTAAAACCTGACCATCAGTTTCCTTCATCTGGTCAAGCTTCCTCTTCATGTTTGTAGCATAGTCATGTGCGAGCCGGTGCAACTGTTTATTCTCATGCTTGAGCCCTCTAATCTCCTGTTTGAGACTCATCACTTCGGCCGCCAATGATTCAACTTGGCGGGTTCGAGCAAATAGGCGTTGGGCCATATTAGACACAGAACCTGCACACTGAACACTGAGAGCCAGCGAATCCTTAACAGCTAACTCATCAGACCGTTTGGAAAGTAGTCTGTTATCTTTGGGAGTGAGAAGGTTCCTGGCCACCACCGCAGCGGTCATATCATTCTTCATCACGGAATCCCCAACGGTAAGAGGACCAGTAGGGGAGACGAAGGATGGGCGCCATATGTTGTCTGGAGAAGGCGGGGCTGCCTCTTCAACAAGGTTCAAGTCAAAACGACGGTCGGAGGGGCCAGACATTTTCAAAGGTGTTGAAGAGAGAAGAGGTCGGACAAATCAAGATCTTAGAAGTGCAAGAATGGAGCTTCTACTGGTGGAGATTCAAGTGTGCTTTGGAACTTAATGCCAGCCCCTATAAAAAGCTGCACTCGACGGAGCTTCAGACATCGAAGAGGCGCCTGCTCAGAAATCGAAGAGGCGTTTGCTTTCTCAAAAGCTGGGCTGCTTAGAGACCACGAGGGTTGATCGCATAAATCGAAGAGGTGTTTGCTTTCTCAAAAGTTGGGCTGCTCAAAGACCACGAAAGCCGATCTCAGAAATCGAAGAGGCGCTCGCTTTCTCAAAAGCTGGGCTCCTCAGAGACCACGAGGGCTGATCTCAGAAATCGAAGAGGCACCTACTTTTCCAGCCTTGTCAGCACCTGTCACACGCACACTTAGCTTTGCGGAAATTATGGGTATTCTGTCGAAGACTTCTGGGGAAGTAGAAAACACATGAATCTTACTGTCCAATCACCCACTTCCCACACGCAACAATAGCTCATGGGTACCACAGATAACTTTGCCAAAGTTCTCTGCCAAAGTTGAGCACGTGAAGCTTGCAGCTCCCACTACATCGCTCTGACCAAGAAGGGTAAAAGAATAGCAAAGAAACAGCACTGACAAAGTTTAGACCCATAAATTTTGAAGGTCTAGCTACCATATTATTACCCACAAGGGTAAAGGAACAGTACCACTGCTGGATAATTGGAAAGTCCCTGTGTGTCAACCCCTGTGCCTCGTGGCAAGGTAGACTAGCAAACATGCCCAACCTTTACTCACATTCGAGAAAACACTCCAATAAGATTGCTTGCTCCAAAATCGAAGAGGCACCGTCCTCCGAATCTCGAGAGCCAGACTCCCAACATGACTACTTTCTCAAAAATCGAAGAGAGGGTAAAGGAACAGTACCATTGCTGGATAATTGGAAAGTCCCTGTGTGTCAACCTCTGTGCTTCGTGGCAAGGTAGACTAGCAAACATGCCCAACCTTTACTCACATTCGAGAAAACACTCCCAACAAGATTGCTTGCTCCAAAATCGAAGAGGCACCGCCCTCCGAATCTCGAGAGCCAGACTCCCAACATGATTACTTTCTAAAAAAAATCGAAGAGACACTGCTCCCCGAATCTCGAGAGCCAGACCCCCAGCATGATTGCTTTCTCAAAAATCGAAGAGGCATCGTTCTCCGAATCAATCGAAGAGGCGCTCGCTTTCTCAAAAGCTGGGCTGCTCAGAGACCACGAGGGCCGATCTCAGAAATCGAAGAGGCACCTACTTTTCTAGCCTTGTCAGCACCTGTCACACGCACACTCAGCTTTGCGGAAATTATGGGCATTCTGTCGAAGACTTCTGGTGAAGTAGAAAGCACATGAATCTTACTGTTCAATCACCCACTTCCCACACGCAACAATAGCTCATGGGTACCACAGATAACTTTGCCAAAGTCTCTGCCAAAGTTGAGCACGTGAAGCTTGCAGCTCCCACTACATCGCTCTGACCAAGAAAGGTAAAAGAATAGCAAAGAAACAGCACTAACAAAGTTTAGACACATAAATTTTGAAGGTCTAGCTACCATATTATTACCCACAAGGGTAAAGGCACAGTACCACTGCTGGATAATTGGAAAGTCCCTGTGTGTCAACCTCCGTGCTTCGTGGCAAGGTAGACTAGCAAACATGCCCAACCTTTACTCACATCCGAGAAAATACTCCCAACAAGATTGCTTACTCCAAAATCGAAGAGGCACCGCCCTCCAAATCTCGAGAGCCAGACTCCCAACATGATTACTTTCTCAAAAATCGAAGACACTGCTCCCCGAATCTCGAGAGCCAGACCCCCAGCATGATTGCTTTCTCAAAAATCGAAGAAGCATCGTTTTCCGAATCTCGAGAGCCAGATACCACATACCACTTTTTCAAAGTGCTCTGACAGAGTTAAAACATGGGAAGCTGGCAGCTCCCACTACCGTGCTATGACCAAGCAGGGTAAAGGAATAACATTACTACTTGTTGTTAGGGAGACTCCTATATATGTCGACCTCCATCCCCAACGGACAGGCAGACCTGCAAAAATGCTCAACCCTTCCTCATATCTGAGAGGGCACTCCCAACGAAGCCTTTCGAAATATTCAGCTTTCTTTCCCCCCGATAATACCTCTGCAAACAAGCTATACTAGAGCAAGAATATCTCATATCATCAGGGTTAAAAGCAAGAGTATCCCATATCATGCTTTTTCCCTGTCTTTTCCTTTGGCCTTGTTTTTACCTGCAAGACAAGGAGAAAGAGAGCAATCAGTCAGCACTTGAAATCAAGCTCCCAGCCAGGAACTGACTGCCTGGAACCCCTTACCTGATTACTTACCTGGCATTGCTCTCGAGTACTCATCTTCAACAGTTTATGTTTCCAGGGAAGATACCGCATCTGCTTGAGGAACAGATAGGGCAAGTGCGAAGGATACAAGGAAGCATGTAGAGACAAGCGGAACAGCACACGTGCCGATACTTCCATTACTCTGTCAAAAGCAAAAGTATCCCATATCAGCAGGGTCGAACGTACTCTAGATTTGATGGACTTGTTTTGACCCTCAAATTCTTCAGTCGGCCTTATACTCTGGAGGAAACCAGAAAACCCTCCAGCTCAGTTCAAGAATAAGCCTGTGGAAAGTTACTTCTTCAAAAGCAAAAGTATCCCATATCATCTCTTCTCATTTTTCTTCTCTTTATCCTTCATGCTGCTGCAAGATGGGGATAAGGTGAACAATCAGCCGGAGCTCTGATTGCTTACCTTGTCTGTCACCTCTTTCAGCAGATCCCCTAGCTCGGCGACTTGGGGGACTCCTACTACATGGTTTGTATCGCGCTTGACCAAGCCTGAAACTACAAGTAAGCTTCAAGTGAAATTGATACATTACCTTGTGCATCTCCACCAGTTAAAGATACCACCCCTGGATGGAGGAAGAGTACTTCCAGAGAAGCTGCCACATCTACCTATGAGACAGATAAGGCAAGTCAAGATGATACCACACTCCGATACTTAGAAGTTTCGTGATTACGAGATCATTCTCCCACAATATTTCCTAATGTCATTTGTACTCTAATGTCATTTGTACTAAATCATTCACTTGTACTCACTAAAGGAGAGCTTGAACCTATGTACTTGTGTGTAAACCCTTCACAATTAATGAGAACTCTTCTATTCCGTGGACGTAGCCAATCTGGGTGAACCACGTACATCTTGTGTTTGCTTTCCTATCTCTATCCATTTATATACTTATCCACACTAATGACCGGAGCAATCTAGCGAATATCACAAAAAGCGACCGTTTTCGCTACCTAGGATCTATCTTGCAAGAGAACGGAGAATTAGATGGAGATCTCAACCATAGAATACGAGCTGGATGGATGAAGTGTAAGAATGCATCCGGCGTGTTGTGTGACCGTCGTAGGCCACTGAAGCTCAAGGGAAAATTTTATAGGACGGCAATAAGGCCAGCGATGTTGTATGACACAGAATGTTGGGCGGTGAAACATCAACACGTACACAAAATGGGTGTAGCGGAGATGAGGATGCTTCGTGGGATGTGTGGGCACACGAGAAAGGATAAGATTGAGAATGAGGATATCCGAGGTAAAGTAGGAGTAGCCGAAATTGAAGGAAAGATGAGAGAAAATCGGTTCCGGTGTTTTGGACATGTGCAAAGAAGGCCGACTGACGCTCTGGTTCGAAGATGTGACTACGGGACAGAGGTTCAGGGCCGAAAGGGTAGAGGAAGACCTAGGAAAACTTTGGAAGAGACTCTAAGAAAAGGCTTAGAGTACTTGGATCTAACGGAGGACATGACACAAAACCGAGCGCAATGGCGTTCTAGGATTCATATAGCCGACCCCACTTAGTGGGAAAAGGCTTTGTTGTTGTTGTAATGTTAAAAAGAAGTTAACGCAGACAAAATATTTAGTCCCAAACTGATAACTCCTAGTAATAAGTTCGTCACAACAAAACAAAACAACTCATATACTATTTAACTTCTTGACAGAAAAAAAAAAAAAAGTACCAAACTCTTACTAAGTTTCGTTGCACCCGCATTTGGTCGCATAAGAAGTTCCAAGAAGCAATTCAAAATCGAAGTTGACGATGAGGAGGTATAAGTTAATTTGCTAGCTAGTTTTTTAGTACTCTTGGATGCCATTAATGTTGTTTCATATTTATCGTACGTGTTCTAGTTGTTTTTAACCCGGAGATGTAACGGCAACGCAAACAAAATTTGCTAATTAAAACTTCAAAATACAAACAATCAACCAAGATTCAATACACACACCAACGAAACTTCAATATATAAACTAGCCAATTAAACTTCCATCAACACACCAACCAAACTTCAATATCCATCAGTCAAAACGATCTAAATAACCAACCAAACTTTAATAGACGCACACAAACAAAACTTCAATACACACACCAATCAAATTTCAATATACAAATCAACCAACCAAACTTCAATATCCACCAGACAAAATTACCTAAACAACCAATTAAACTTCAATACACACACCAACCAAACTTCAATACACACATTAACCAAACTTCAATATCTACCGTCAAAACTACCTAAGCAATCACCAAACAACAATAAATTCTTTCTATTGGATTTAAATTTCGATCGTGAGATTATTTTTACTGTTAGATTTGAAAAAAAGAAAAAACAAATATACCGTTAGGTCAAAATCTAGAGATTGCTAGAAAAATAAGATTTTAATCTGGACCATTGATCACCAACGGCCCAGTAATCAAACGGCTCGTAATCCCTTAAAATATTATTGTTTTGCAGCTAGCGCCCAGTTGTTGGGCACTTAATCACATCCCCCACCCATTGCTTTTTGATAAAATGCGTGGCCTAAAAAATTTTTAGTTCAGCCAAATTTGGGTTTTAGTTTGGGTCCAAATTTAATGTTTTTGGATTTAAGTCACTCCATTGAATTGCATTTCTTGGGTTTAAACCCAAATATCTGAGTTTGAGTTTTGTCCTTGGAGTTGGTCTTACGATGAATTAAATGCAAAACTCTTCCCCTTCTCTCTCTCCAAATGCAATCTATGCATACTATGTGAGTTTTATTCGTATTATTGAAAAATGTGAAATTTGAAAAGATTTGAAATGTAAATACGTGTGTATGCTATGCTTATGTATAGTAGGCTGATGTTTTAAAAATAAATAATATTGATATGTGTACATTAAACTTAAGTGTTTCTTAAAATGCGAATGTAGTATACGGATTTACATACTACAATTTATCATCAATATACATATGTAAGATGTTACTATATGTCGATGGTAGGTACTAATGTTGTATTCCTCTTACACAACCAAGTTCGAGTGCCCTCTCACACTTGACTTGACTTTAGGGTATCCAATGGTGAGATCAAATTTGAGATGCAAAAACTATATTTACATTTTTTTTTACTTATCAGGGAATGTAAATACAAGTTCCACTCAAGTAAAAGAGAAATTTAGGATTACATTAATTTTCTCCATTTGACTAGTGTAACCGACCATCTAAAAATGTAAAATCAAAAGACAAATATACATTATTTTTATATCTTTTGTTGAAGATGAATAATTAACATTCTGCGGTTGAAGAGTTTTCCAGCAAAGAAAAATGTAAATGTTTCGTAGAATATTACTTGTACTGAGAAAACAATTTAGGATTTGTATTGCGATGGCCGAAGTTAATAGCTACGAGGCCGAATAGCGACTGTCTCAGAGCTCTTCAATGGTTCCAGCCTCCTCTCTCTTCTCCACTGTAGGTGATGCGAACAAACCCGTATTCGTCCTTTTTTTTCTCATCAACTTCGGACATCAAGGTGGTACCTGTGCAACAGCAATGGAACAATTAGAGTCACTACCTCTGCACCAAACTCGGGACAAACACGGATATCATTACTGCCGGCATAAAAACAAAAATGTGTTACTCACCAATGGGAAGCTCGGTGTTCATGAGGTAGACAAACAAAGACTTCTTCCATGGAGATTCATGCTGAATCCTTAACCGAATAAAATCAACAAATTCTCTGAGAGGCATATCGCGATGGACGTTGTATCTGCAGTAAAAGAAAAAACAAAGGACATGCAACATGTGAGATGTGAACCCCTTCATCCAAGACAAGCTTATACTATTTGTTTCTGATCGCTTACGTAACATATGATATACCAAAAGCATATGTGTCTATATATATAAGTATATGTTAGTGTCTATGACGGAGGAGGTCAAATCATATTCCATTATTGCAATACAATTCATGATAATCAAAGAAAAAAAGAATCGGAAACAAACTTCTTCATGTCAATGTCAGGAATGTCACTGCTTGCATCCTTCTCCACCCACACCTGCATCGAGGCTTAAATTACAGCATGTTTTATCTCATATGAAATGCATAGAAGGAAATAAACATATTCGATGCATCGGAATTCTAACCGGTATATGATCTGGTCCCCTCTCCCTCACTTTCCAAGCATCTACGTCAAGTGGTTTGAGCTTCTCCATAAAAGGCCTGAGAATATTTCGAAAACAAATATTAAAAAAAACAGCAATCTGTTCTATTCTCATTCTGGAAATACCTAACAGAAAGGGGATAAAATCTCCCGTTCTATTATTGCAATGCAAATCAAGATAATCGAAGCAAAAAGGAAGTGGATGCTAACTTCATCACACAAATGCCACACCTTCCATCCATCCTCTTTCTCCCCTGCAAGGAGGCTCAAATTAGAGCATGGCATTACCTCCAATGAATCAGTAGAAGGAAACAGACGTATTCGACCAAGTGAAATCCTTACAGGTAAATAATCTGTTTCCCCCACCTACAATTTACAAGCATCTGCATCATGTGCCGTGTACATCTCCGGTAAACTCCTGAACACAATATCAAAAGCGTAGATTAAAGCATCCTAGAACGCTATTGCGCTCTGTTCTGTGTCACGTTTTCCGTTAGATCCAAGTCCTGACCAATTGAATTTGAAAGCTAAATTATTCCGATTTTCCTACAAGCATAAAGGAAAAGGAAAGGAAACAATCTTTTTTCCATTGCAGCAAACAAATTTAAGACAAATAAAGCACAAGGGATCGACAACTAACTTCCTCCTCTTGATCCTGCCAGGAATTATGTCAATCTTTGCAGCAGCTCTACTCTTAGTCCTCTGCATAGAGGCGCAAATTAAAACAGAGGTATGTCCACCTACTGACTAGGAAGTAAAAGTATCTAATTCAGTGGAACTCTTACTGGTGGTAACACATCAGTGAATTCAGAGTCTGTCTCCTTTCTCATTGCCAGTGTAGGTTATGTGAAGAAATCCATCTTTACCCTTGTTCTCCGCATCAAATTCAGACATCAAGGCCTCTGCAACAGTGCAAGAATTAGATTACTACGTCACAAGGTTGACAAATAATTTGGGAAACAAAAGAAAAAAAATGCAGCTCTGCTCACCATTAGGAGGTACAGTTGTTAGGGTGATATTATATGCATGTTTTATACCTTTTTTACTTATTATTTGGTCATGATTTTATATTAAATTGGTGAGTTTGATGTGTTTTGTGTAAGTTTTGTACAAATAATAGTCGGAGATAAATGTGGATTTGTAAGAAGAATTATAAAGAAAGTATCATGGAATAACGAAGTGGACTGCTGCTTTGTGAGAATTGTGCTGGAATTTGGGCTTTATCAAATTAAATCCAATTTGGGCTTCATAAAAAGTGGCGTTGGACTTTTCCAAGAATGAGAAGGTTTTTAATCCCCTTATTGAGAGGCAGAAGGGGGGAGAATAAAATCAGGTTTTTTTTGGAGAGCCTAAGGGTGTGCCGCAAGGAAGGTGGAGAACCCAGCGGCGCAAGGATTTTTGGGGGAGGATCAAACCACCACAGCGCATACACACATTCAAAAACAATGTTGGAGTTCAAGATTTATTGCATGTCATTGAATTCATCCATGTTTGGCATAAGTTCAATCATGAATTAAGTCTTTTTGCTAGGATTAGGGTGTACTCTTATCATGAACATATAATTCTCATTATTTTATATTAATCTCAGTTATTTTCCATGTTGAGTAATTGTTATTGTGCTTCGTTGTTATCAAATAACTGGCCATTATTTGTGTGAATAACTAAATTGTGACTGACAGGTAGAGTTTTGTAGGTTGCTTCTCATAACAATTACCATAAATTACATAATTGAATAGATATATTGGTTATGATTTGTGTAGTATCATGTAATTATCCATTTAGCGTAAAGGGTTTTGATTATCTATATATGTGGCTAGACATAGCATGGGTAGATAGTTCGAAACACGATTAGTATATTCTGACAGAAAATATTGACGAATCAAGGGATAATTGCTAGCAACATGGGAATAATTTGATGTTAATATGAATAACGGGATTAGATGGGATTGAGAATAAGGAACCTGATGTCCTAGTGCTTCCATATTTTAATCTTTTATAATTCATTCATTTTTATTTAGTGCTCGATCAGTCGTTATTTTTACTTTCATTTGGTTTCTTTGCATCTTAGAATTTGTCAACATAATCCCTCTTTTATTTAAGTTTAGTTTGAAGTCAATCTCAATAGTAAATATAAGTTAATCCGATCTTTGTTTGAACGACACTCTACTTATCACTATATTACTTAGACGATATTATACACTTGCAATTATCAACAACAACAATGTTCTTGAAATACAGTTGAACATGAACTTTATCGAGTTGACGCCCTATAAACTTGGCAAAAGCTCCAAGAGGCATGTCATCACGAACAAGAAATCTGCAGTCAGAAGCACACGAAGAAATCTGTAGTCAGAAGCACAGGATAGGTGATACAACCATGAGAGAACCCCCTCATATAAGACAAGCGATGAACAAAAGGAGTTTCACTTTGCAGTAAAAGGTGTGTTCTCCTCTCCTTTCTGTATGCAAATCTAAAATATAGATACGGAGTGTGAAAATTATTTGGAACGTAGGCTTCTCAACAAAGGCGACCAATCGTACAATACATTACTAGCTCCTCTCTTCTTCTCCCGCAAAATTTTCATTTTGGTAAAATGTTGACTGTAAAATAAAACGCATGACCATATCCTATATATGTTGGGATGGCATACAGATTGCATATAAACTTCAACCGACACATAAAAATACACGCAAACACAAGATGCCATTCTCCTTAATAAAATAATCATATATGATCCCACTCGGCACCCCGCTCTACATTCATTATTTTAAAGGAAACTAATGAAAATGTTTGAAAACTTTAAGTTTTAATTATAAGGATAAAATAAGAGAAGTTCACCCCTAAGGACTTTGCGCCAGCATTCAGCGCATTTATCCACTCAAGTGAACAGTAATAGGCCAAGGCATTTTCACCCCTAAAAAAATGCACTGGCACCCAGCGCATTTATTTGGTGTGTGTTTTTTTTTTTAAGTTTATTTCGGATAAGATTTTTAACAAATTTTGGATAAAATTTCAAATAAACTTAAAAAAAAAATGCACACCAAAATAAAATTACATACTCATCATGGACATGGACATGGACTGCTATTTGGACTGAGTGCTGGGCAAAGTCCACTCCGGTGGACTTGCTCTAAAAGGTAAAGTGAATAGTACCAGGATTGATTTTTTAGTGTAAAAATATGATTTTTCGTTAAAGTGAACAGTATCAGAAGTTTTTTGTTAAAATTTCCTTCTTTTATATGGCATAACAGGATGTGAATGTAAAATTGTAACCAGTGAGTAGTAATTATAGCTGCTTCGTTTGACAAAAAAAAAAAAGTAAATATAACTGCTTTTTTCTTTAACCTAAATCTTTATTTTTAGACAATGCTCGTATATGGCTATTTGGGGCCTTTGGCCATGGTAGGCAACAATGGTTGTCTTGTATGTCACTTTTCGATGTGTGGGTTGTTTTATATAGAGTTTTTGGTTGAAATCATACTTATATATGACATTCGGTTGCTAAAATGATTTTACTTTTAGCATTTCATTGTTACATTATAGTTGTAAAAAAATACACCAATTGTAGGTTCTTTTTCATAAAATACTTTCAAGAAGGAACTTGAATTTTTTATAAAATCTTGGACGTGCTTGTACCAAGGACATTAACATCCAAACCAAAATTCTTCACATTCTCAGACGAATTGAAGCAAAAAGTAACATGACAAGGTAAACATCGCAGGCAAATAAACTTTGTTGTTGCTACTTAGTACTACGGTCTAGTAGTATTTCTCTTCACTTGTAAGTGAGAGGTCTCATGTTCGATTCTCGCCAAAGACGAATTTGAACCATATTGCTGTTAGCCTAGTGTGAGGTTAAGCCCATCCCCTCACCCTTAATGTAGATAATATCACTTGTTAAAAAAAAATTAAATAAATAAACTTTGTTGTTTGCGCTACCGTTACATCTCCAGGTGATGCTCCATATCATATTCGATAAATATGAAACAACTTTAATAGCATGCAAGAGTACTGAAAAGCTAGCTAGCAAAGTAACTCATCCATAAAAATAAAATGAGATTATGCACCTCCTCATCGTCAACTTCGATCTTGAATTGCTTCTTGGAATGCGATCTAATATTAGTGCAACGAAACTTACATATGAGTCTTTTGCAATCAAGCTAATTAATAGGAATCTATAACGAATTTGGGATTTATTTTTCGTGGCAATTAATATTTTTGACGTTTATACATGTCTATTTGTTTTTGGATGAATTAATGTTTTAGCACAAATCCATTAACAAAAATGCCATTGAAAATCCACAAAAAATATTAAATTGTTTTCAAATCAATAAAAAATGGCAAAGCATATAGTTGGATATAATTGGGGAAGATAAGTTGTATAGCTTATTATTATTAGTATTAGATGCATAAATTTCATAAGTTGTAAAGAAAAAAAAAAGAGTTGCACATGACGGTGGATATTGCAATTTGCAGGAATCTAAGGACTTTATAATCCACACTATTCTTGGAACTACAACAAAATAATAAACACTATTTTTGAAACTGAACTAAAATAACTCGCACTATTTTTGGAAGGGAACAAAATACACACTAGTTTTGGAACAACAACAAAATAACCCACACTATTTTTGGAATAGAACCAAAATAACCCACACTATTTCTGAAATATAACCAAAATAATCCACATTATTTCTGAAACGGCACTAAATAAACACTGTTTCTGAAACTACAGTAAAATAATTTACACTATTTATGAAATAGAACCAAAATAATCAAAACTATTTCTAGAAATACAACAAAATAACCTAGCTATTTCAGAAATTGAACCAAAATAATCCACACAATTTCTAAAAGTACAGCAAAATAACTCACACTATTTCTGAAACTGAACGAAAATAATCCACACTATTTTTGGAATTACAACAAAATAGCCTACACCATTTTTGAAACTGAATCAAAATAACACACATTATTTTTGGTAGGAAAAAATAAACATTATTTATGAAACAACAACAAAATAACACACACTATTTCTGAAACAGAACCAAAATAACTCACACTATTTTTGAAACTACAACAAACTAACCAGCACTATTTATGAAATTGAACCAAAATAACCCACACTATTTCTGAAAATGAACAAAATAAAGAGAGTTTTGACAAAATAACCCAATCTTGATTCTTGAATATCGTTCGTCCGTCTTTTTCTACAAAATGGTAATCTTATATGTTGCTATTTAATAGTAGAATCTATAGATGGATACTTTCGATTTGGCATATATAACAACATGAAATTCAACTTCATGAATAATATCAGGGAGAATTACATGAAGTTTTCAGTCCTCTCTTATCTCTCCTCTCTCTCATGCAAAATTATGGTTTGTATTTTTGTTTCAGAAAACATAGAATATTTTGATAAATACTGCGATTCTGCACAAACTTGCATCTGCAATGAAAGGAAATAGACAGTGTATATACATGTTGACATTCATGTTCACAAGTATACATAATAAATTAAATATGGAATCCCCATATATTAATATAAAATACATAAATAAATAAATAAAACTTGAAAATTTTGAGTTTTAACGATAAAGACAAAATAAAAGGTAAAGTGAATAGTACCA